ATTCTTGCCAGCAAGTTAAAGAAGTATGGGCTGGATAAATGGACTGTAAGGTGGATAGAAAGCTGGCTAGATCATCGGGCTCAATGGGTAGTGATCAATGGCTCCATGTCTAGTTGGCAGCAGGTATCAAGCGGAGTGCCCCAAGGGTCGGTCCTGGGGCCAGTTTTGTTCAGTATCTTCATTAACGATCTGGAGGATTGCGTGGACTGCACTCTCAGCAAGTTTGCAGATGACACTAAACTGGAAGGAGTGGTAGATACGCTGGAGGGTAGGGATAGGATACAGAGGGACCTAGACAAATTAGAGGATTGGGCCAAAAGAAATCTGATGAGGTTCAACAAGGACAAGTGCAGAATCCTGCACTTAGGACGGAAGAATCCCATGCACTGTTACAGACTAGGAACTTAGTGGCTAGGCAGCAGTTCTGCAGAAAAGGACCTAGGGATTACAGTGGACGAGAAGCTAGATATTAGTCAACAGTGTGCCCTTGTTGCCAAGAAGGCGAACGGCATTTTGGGTTATATAAGTAGGAGCATTTCCAGCAGATCGAGGGACGTGATCATTCCCCTCTATTCGGCATTGGTGAGGCCTCATCTGGAGTACTGTGTCCAGTTTTGGGCCTCACCCTACAAGATGGATGTGGATAAATTGGAAAGAGTCCAGCGGAGGGCAACAAATATGATTAGTGGGCTGGAGCACATGACTTATGAGGCGAGGCTGAGGGAACTGGGATTGTTTAGTCTGCAGAAGAGAAGAATGAGGGGGGATTTGATAGCTGCTTTCAACTACCTGAAAGGGGGTTCCAAAGAGGATGGATCTAGACTGTTCTCAGTGGTACCAGATGACAGAACAAGGAGTAATCGTCTCAAGTTGCAGTGGGGGAGGTTTAGGTTGAATATTAGAAAACACTATTTCCCTAGGAGGGTGGTGAAGCACTGGAATGGGTTACCTAGGGAGGTGGTGGAATCTCCTTCCTTAGAGGTTTTTACGGTCAGGCTTGACAAAGCCCTGGCTGGGATGATTTAGTTGGGGGTTGGTCCTGCTTTGAGTAGGGGGTTGGACTAGATGACCTCCTGAGGTCCCTTCCAACCCTGATATTCTATGATTCTATGAAACTAGATTGCTTTGTATCAGTGACTTGTCTTCTTCATTAGTTATCACTCCCCAATTGATTGTGTCATCTGCAAATTTTTATGTTGTCTTCAAGGTTCTTAATAAAAATATTAAATAGCATTGGGTCAACTATGGATTCCTATGGAACCCTGCTAAAAACACACCCATTCGATGATGATTCCCCATTTACAGTTACATTTTGAGACCTACCAGTTAGACAGCTTTTAATCCATTTAATGTCTGCCATGTTAATTTATATCTTTCAAGATTTTAAATCAAAATGTCATGTGGCACCAAGTCAAATGCCTTACAGAAGTCTAAGTCTGCATAGATTCATAGATTCTAGGACTGGAAGGGACCTTGAGAGGTCATCGAGTCCAGTCCCCTGCCCTCATGGCAGGACCAAATACTGTCTAGACCATCCCTGATAGACATTTATCTAACCTACTCTTAAATATCTCCAGAGATGGAGATTCCACAACCTCCCTAGGCAGTTTATTCCAGTGTTTAACCACCCTGATAGTTAGGAACTTTTTCCTAATGTCCAACCTAAACCTTCCTTGCTGCAGTTTAAGCCCATTGCTTCTTGTTCTATCCTTAGAGGCTAAGGTGAACATGTTTTCTCCCTCCTCCTTATGACACCCTTTCAGATACTTGAAAACTGTTATCATGTCCCCTCTCAGTCTTCTTTTCCAAACTAAACAAACCCAACTCTTCAGCCTTCCTTCATATGTAATATTCTCAAGACCTTTAATCATTACATATATTACATCAAGACCTTTAATCATTACATATATTACATCAACATTATTACCTTTATCAGCCAAACCTGCAATCTCATCAAAAAAAGATATCAAGTTAGTTTGGCAGGATCTCTTTTCCATAAACTCATGTCAATTGGCATTAATTATAATACACTCCTTTAATTCTTTATTAATCAATTCCCATATCAGCCACTCTATTATCTTGCCCAAGATCAGTGTCAGATTGACAGGCCTATAATTACACAGGGTCATTCTGTTTATCCTTTTTTAAATATTGACACAATAATAGCTTTCTTCCTGTCTTTTGGATCTTCCTCAGTGTTCCAAGATTGCCAAAAATCAACATTAACAGTCCAGCAAACTCCTCAGCCACCTTTTTTAAACCTCTTTGATCCAAGTTATCTGGACCTGCTAATTTAAACATGTCTGACTTTAGCAGCTGCTGTGAAATATCCTCCCGAAATAAAAGGGAAATGGAAAAAAGTCTTCTTATAATATATGACTATATTATCTGTTTTTCCCCAAATCTAGAACAGAAATATTGTTAAACACTTCTGCCTTTTCTGCATTCTCATTGAGAATTCTACCATTTCCATCTAGTAATGGACCAATGCCATTTTTCAGAGTCTTTTTGTTCCTAATGTGTGTGTGTTGTGGCAAGGCACCTTCTTTGTCTCACCAGCCTCAGCTCTTCTCCCTTTGGTGAGATGGGCCTGGGGTAAATCAACCCCTATCTGCCGCACTGGGCAGGCTTTCCCCGAACAGGCGCTCAGACTTGTCTGTTTCTCCCATGTGAAGAAGCACAGCCTCTCCTCTTGGAGATGCTCACTTCCCTGCTGCCACTAATGTAGTAACAGCTTGTCTCCCTCTCTCTCTTCTCTTCTCTTCTCTCAATAGGGGAGGGGATTTAAAAAGGTGTCAGGCAGCCCTTAATTGGATTCAGGTGTTTCTCATTGACCTGAGGTAACTTCTTCTCAGCTGATCCTAATTGACCTGAGGTAACCCCTTCTCAGCTGATAGGGAAGAGGGCCTCTAACATTCTAGGGCTTATATATCTGCCTTCCACAACATCATGGTGTGCATGAATGTTCTGGCTGATGCCCTTAAAAGCATCAACAATGCAGAGAAACATGGAAAATGTCAAGTTCTTATTATACCGTGCTCTAAAGTAATCGTCCCGTTTTTAACTGTGACGATGAAGCATGGTTACATTGGTGAATTTGAGATTATTGACAATCACCGAGCTGGGAAAATTGTTGTTAATCTCACAGGCAGACTGAAAAGTGCGGTGTGATCAGTCTCAGATTTGATGTTCAGTTGAAGGACCTGGAAAAGTGGCAGAACAACCTTTTGCCTTCACGTCAGTTTGGGTACATAGTGCTGACAACTTCCGCTGGCATCATGGACCATGAGGAAGCAAGATGAAAACACACAGGAGGCAAAATCCTGGGATTCTTTTTCTAAAACTTGTAAAACAGGCATACTAATAAATTGTTCAAATGGAAAAAAGAAAAAAAAACTCTCTTGCAGCTGGCCAGCCTGACTTTGTCACAATGTGTGTATATATTCACATATCCTCTAAACTAGGTCAGTTTTTTAATCAATACAGTACAGCCTTCTTCCTCCATTGTGGGTTTATGGCATTTTTGGTATCTAATAAAGTGTTTTTAAACTATTTCAAATTATCATTTTTTTTCTGAATAAATTCTTCCTCCTGGCTGAGTTGGATGTAATTAATTTTCCGGCTTTGTGAAATTGGCCTTTTTAAAGAACCGTGGGTGTGTATGTGTATATATTTATCTATCACTGCTTTAGACTTTATTCTGTTTTCATATTATAAATGTGGTCAAGTCATGATCACTTGTACCTAAGCTACCATTACATTTTATTTCTGTGATCAGTTCCTTTTTATCTGTCAAGATGAGGTCTAATGTAGAACTCCCATGACAGATGTGGGACTTACTCCAGGGTCTGCTGTCCTCGGAATCCAGAACTGCATTCACTTTGCCAATGCCGATTCTTCCACACCTCCTGCTAGTCCCTACATAATGCCACTGTCTACTTGAGGTACTCATAAAGCCCCATCACTGGAGTATCAGAGAGTCTCACAATCTTAAGGCCAAGGTCCCCACAGGTCACCTAACTCCCATTGAAATGGGAGCCCTGGTCTCCCACAGATTGAAGAATTGCAGGGAAAGTCCTACTCAGCCCATAATACATGTTTCCAGTTTCGGTTCTCCCTGTGTCCTGTGTGTTTGTCGTTGGAGTGAGGCTGTGGAGGAGAGTAGGGTGGAGCTAAGAGCCCACGGACCCTGCTTCACGTGCTCCTGGACTAACCCTGCAGTAGGGGAAGGGAAGGTGGGTGCTGGGCAAGGAGCTGTAAACTTGAATCTGGCAAATCAACAGTAGCTGAGTCAGAGTTAAAGGGGCAGCATGAGAGTGGGTGTGTGAAGGGCTCCTGCTCTCCTCTGCAAATGAGATGACTAGAGATAGTCTGAACCATATCCTTTCCGCACCCCTTTGTTCCCTGGTGTTGCAGATATGGGAATTTGCTGCACTACCCTGAACAAACCTTACTGAATTAAGTTTAAGTAGCTTTGGAGTCCATTGTTTTAAAAATGCAAAGATATCTATTATTGTGAGATTGTATGCAACTTCTCTAGGAGGGAAGTGTTCTGAGCTTCAAAGGACTCTCTCAAACAATGTGCCAGACAAGAATGGTCTTTGGGAACAATATATGTGAAGTGGACTTTTCCTGGGAAGTGTCTATGGGGAGGTGAATGCAAATACCTTCCCCGTTTATGCAAAGACCCAACCTTTTGAAGCTACTCCCTGAGGAAAGAGAACCATTGTCTATGATTTACCCATTCCTAGATTAAAGTCCAAGGCTGTATAAGGGAGGGACTAAATATTTCACGAGCGTGCTTGTTCTGAAGAAAAGATTTTATGAATTTGTAACCACAGGAAAACCCCTGTGTGGAGTTTGAAGGACTAATCCCCACCAGAGCCATTATTGGTATAATTATTAGCGTGTGCGTATGCTCTTTTATCTAGAACACAGGAAAATCTGAAATGAGCCCTATGGCACAAGAGAGGGCAAAATACGATATCTTGTTTTCTTACCAGGGGGAGCTTCTTCATCTGCTGCCTGCTGATCTCTCATCATATTTTTCTGAAATATTAATGGGAAAACAGCACCATTTAGAAATTTATAATCACCTAGAAGTGTAGCAAATACAAATGGAGAGCTAAAACACACAGTATCTCCTTACACACCTGGTGTATAGATCACCAGAAATTGAGAAGGATTTGTTGCAAGAATCAAAAGTTGTCTGAAGAGTATTTTTTTCTCTCTCCTTTTTTTTATTTAGTTACTTTTTACGATGTTGAGGTGCTCAGGGATCCTGCCTTCATGGAATTATTTAAATATTGTATGAAAATTCTGCATGGAGACCATGAAGGTTAATCAAAGCCCCGACTCAGCTTGTTTTGGTTCTTCCAGTCCACCCATGACGTCATTTACCCCTTCTGCAGAAAGTCTGAACACAAGGAGATGGGGAAGTGCAAGCGGAGCCCTTAACCCTGTTATAATGATTGGTGACCTCTATGCCAGAGCTACTGTACAATGAAAAACACATGGAAAATCAACGGGATTTGTGCTCCTAAGACACATGCCAGGATTTTCAAAAGTGACCAGTCAGTTTAGGTGCTTACATTTTTGGGTGCACAACTTAAGACACCTTGAAGGGGACAGATTTTCAGAGAGCGTGTGCTCAACAATTTCTGCAAATCAGGCCCCTTTTAGGGGTCACAAGTAGGGCCCTCAAAATTGAGGCACCAAAATTCTAACTGGAACAGGTGCAGAGAAGGGCTACTAGGATGATCTCACTTTTCCATTGTACTTTCGTCACCTAGCTCAGTGATTCCACATACAGTATGTTAAACCAAGCCCACAAGGTATTCTAGATGCATACACGGTTTGATCCTATGAGGTGCTGAGTGCCTGCAGAGAAGGTTTGAGGGCACTGGGTATCTCTGCACCCAGCTGAGCTCAGCACAGCGACTGAGTAGGGAAGAAGGTGGCTTTACTACACCTTTATGCCTCCTCTAACTTGGGACAAAGGCAGGAGCGGGGGAGGGCTGGACTCTCTCACAGAGTACAGTAGCCTCCAGACTGCCCAAAATGACACCTGGCTGCCTTGGGGTTGTTGCAGCCGTTGGGAACAAGAAGTTACATCATCTGAGCATTTCCAGCCTTCTCTGTCAGAACTTTGTTCCCCTCACTCCCTCCCCACCACATTCTCCCATCTCAGGCAGGCTTTAGGCACCCAAATGCCAAACAGAGAAACCGGCTTGTTTCCTGCATTTCCTCCTGCTAACTCAGACACATTTTCATTTTTCACGCTTTGTAGGCAGTGTAAAATACCCCCCCTTGCCAACCCCAGTCCCCCCTATACATACAACCTTTTCGGTGTCAGCTGAGCTTGGAGAGCAAATCTGTGATATTTCTTCAGATTAAGCAGATATTTGCAACTTCTGCACAGTCCTCCCAGCTGGTGGTATTACTCGAAAATGTCTGAAGTCTTCCGGTTTCCTCTTTTCGACAGTAGTTTCGTATTAATAGTTGATGAAACTGTTGTGAAAATGAAAACGAACTACTCAGTGATTCACATTTCTTTCTAAATAGAACATTTCTTTCTAAATAGTGAGCTGCTGCCACTGACCAGGAAATACCTTTTGCTAAATAAACAAGTCTGAATTTTACAGGAAGTGGGTTTGTGCAAAACGTATGAGAATATTCAGCCTGCCTCCAAAGTACCCTGTGTTTAAGGACAGAACAATATCAATAGCCATAAAGAAAGCCAGCACAAAGATTATATTAACAGCATGCAACAGACCTAACCATTTAGACACAACAAATCCTGCATGTTGACAGGGGGTTACACTAGATGACCCTTGCGGTCCCTTCTAACCCTATGATTTTGCAAATATGTGCCATTTTAAGTGAGTCAATGCAGGATTGTACCCAGGAAGATATATGTGCGTGAGAAACAAAGAAAAATGCAGAACCAGATTCAATAGAGATCTATACAATATTGGTGTGTGTGTCTATCTATATAAAAACCTTTTGATGCTCTGACAAAAGTGCCTCTGACAAAGGTAATGGTCAGAAATCTTGGGCTGTGATATTTTTGTTTGATGACACATTGTTGCCATTAATGATTAATAATAATCATATCTCTATATGTATTATTATTTTGGTAGCACGTGAAGTCTCCAGTTGGGCCCCATCATTCTGAGCAGTGTTCAAACACAGAAAAGACACCCTCCCTGCTCACAAGGGCTTACAGTATAAAGACACAAACAGATGAAGAGCAGGGGAAGGGACACAACATACAAACAAAAGAATCTGGTGAAGAATTGGGATGTACTAAAAATGTGCCGGATTTCCCCATACAGAAAACATACAAACTACAACATGTGGGAGGCATACGGTGCATCCTTTTAGGGAAGCAACATCAATTTGTCACTATAATTTTGCAGATATTTCTGAACTATTTTATTGACAGAAAAAAAAACAGGTGAACTCCTAGTAGTTTTGGCAAAACAGCAGCATCCTGGAAGGACACTGTAAAAGCTGGAGGGATCTGTGGAGCCTAAGTCTGCATTCAGACAACTACAGCCAAATGTTCAGAAGCGGAGGGGGGAATTCCATGTGCAAATACACAGCTGCAATTACACAGGAACTACTGAGATTAGACATTCACCACATACACAGCTAGATCCCTAACTAAGGGCCTGTGCTCTCTGTGGTAACCTGGATCTAAACACTGTGGCAATCATCTCTTTGTTTTTGTACAGCACCCAACGCAACTCAGTTGCCCACTTGCTCCATTAGAGCCTGAATTTGTGGCTTCTTAGGAGATGATGCAAAAGCAGGCTCCAGTCTCTTGGCGTTTTAAAGGGAATATTGATTAATGAGAGTGTAACAGGGGCAGGGCTTGGATGGCCAGGCAGCCATCTGGTTTGATTGCCTGGCTCTCAGCTAGGGTTGCCAACTCCCCTGAACCGGATGCTATTTTGCGGCGATGGCGTCCGGTCCAGGAGAGCTCGCAACTCTCCTCCAGCTCTCCCCACCCCCCCAATGGCTGAGTGGCCTCAGTCTTTAAGGCTGAGAGATGGGTAGGGGGACTCAAGCCCTTCCTCTCCACTGAGTCTCAGCCCAGGGCACTGTGTATGTCAGCCCCTGAACAGGGGGTTGGTGTCCCTCCCAGCAAGGGGTCAGAATCCGCTGCCTTGGGCTACTTCCTACCAGTCTGTTAGTCCATTCACTTTGGGGCACGGCCCCTCTAGTCCAATGTACCAAGCAGTTTATTACCTGCAAGTTTCCCCCGGGGGTCCGGACAGCACCTTGCTGCGTTCCCAGGCTCCTCCGGGCAGGGCAGCCACAAGCCGGTGAGGGCGAGCCCCACAATGTCTCTGGGGCTCGCTCAGTTAGTTACCTGCCGTGCTGGGGATTCCTCCGCAGTCTCCCTTGGTCAGGAAGCCAGTGCTTGCCTGCAGGGCCGTGCTCTGTCCCTTCAGAAAGGGACCTCCTGCCTCTTCCCCAGTCAGTGAGGAACTGACTCAGGCTCCCAGCTTTTCTCTCCCTGGGGCTTGGAATTGGCTGCAGATATAGTGGGGCGGGGCTAGCTGGGCTCAAAGGCTTTCTTTAACCCCTGCTGGGCTGGCTGGCACTTTCTCTGCTTCACCACAGAGAGTCTAAAAAATTCTCCCTGGCCTACTAAAGGAAGAATATGCAGTCTGTCAATTTTTATTTATATTTAATTGACTTAATTAATTAATTAATTAAGATGTATAAACTGCTTATTCGTTGCCCTATTACGATGTGTGAAACTGAGGCCCAGATTCTCTTCTGTGCCAAGATGGATGTAGCACAGAAGGAGGCCATGAAGGAGCTAGTTACATCTTCCTGAGTCTCAAGTTGCCCCCGGCCTAGGGACTGCTGTAATTTACGCCATCCAGATCTGATCCCAATGGAACTGTACATCAGTGGAGAACAGTGGAGGGCAACTGCTCTACCCTCAAAACACCACCTCCTGCCTCAGCCCTTCCTGGAGGAGGGTGGGACAGATGATACAGGAGCCATCTATGCCATTTTATGTCAGCTGAGAGCTTCCCCCCACCAGGGAGGTTTTACCGGATTTGCCCTTTGCTTTGGGGTACACTCATTTATTAGGGTTACTCTTTGGGGAAGGGAGGTGTTTCTGTAATTCTATCAATGTACTGCTTGTGTGACTTGTGTTTTCATATGGAGCTGTACTCCTCCCTTCTGCACGTCCCCTCCCAATGGAGCTATCCTGCAGGACCTAGGTTCCCCCGGGCTGGGTTCCTCCAGCCCCAGAACCGTATGAATGAACACACACACACACACACACACACACACACACACACTAACAGAGCAAGTCTGAGTGGACCGGGTCAATCAGCACTTTCAAGCTGACCCTTTATATGCTCCAGGTTCAGCTCGTCCCTATCCCCACTTTCACATCACAATTGTACTGCTGGTAACCCACTTGATGAGCAAACCCCACAGTATTTTTGGGCGCTACAGGTATCTTTAGCTTAGGTAAGAGGAGCGTTGCTACAGAGTGAATGGAGGAAGTCAAAAACACAAAAGAGTAAAGTTCAGAGAGAGAGAGGGAAGCAACCAGCTTAACCAAAAAAAGTTTATTGAATAATAGTGATAACTACACATGGAGAGCCTAAATAAACATAACAGTTACATTATTAAAGATTGCAGAAGTCAGATATAGAAAACTATTCCTGATCAAACAAGTCAGGGTTAAAAGTTATACCTGAGGTAGAAAATAAAACAGAGAGAGAGAGAGAGATGGGGTCTCACCACTCCATGAAGCTTGAACTGATCGGGGTTCCAGGTGATGGTGGTAGCTCAGGGTCCTGACAGGCAGAGCCCCCAGCACGATCAGTCAGGAGAAGATGAAATCCCAGTGGAACTGAGGCAGAGTTTGGAGCCATGCATCAGAACACTGACTTGAACATAGGTAGGGTTTTTTTGTAGGGAAACAGTGGTTCAAGGGAGAACACGACATTTGTTTATGGGTAAACTGACGGCTCAAGGGTCTTCTTTAGGCTAGACAATAGGAACTGATCATTCCTGGCTATGGGTGATGTTCCTTCGAGGGAGCTCACAATGCAATTAGGCAGCTTCACTATTCTGGATATTGATCAAGGATTCATTACTAGAATTGGTCTGATAACTGCTGAGCTGGGCGTGTGCAGGCGTAGGTTCATTAACATCTGGATCAGGGATCCCCCATCATGCAGTGCTTCCCTGCTTTTCTGGTCCCAGTGTTCCGTGTGGTTCTTGCCTTGGAATCTCTGTTCTCCATTCTGTTTCCTAATGGGGATGTCTCCCTGTCCCATCTTTATGCAAATGAGGCTTGGGGAGTTGCCTCAATCCTGTCACCCTTGTCAGGAGGGGTTAGGTGCGTCGCCCACGGCCTTTTCATTGCTTTCTGTACATCTTTCTTCTGATGGGTTTTGGTTCAAGCAGAGGCTGGGGAGGGGTGACCTTCATGAGCCAGATGGGCTGTATACTGTGCCCTGGTTCCCCAAGAACACAGATCTGACTGGTGTCCAGTGCTCCAGACACAACCCTAGGAACCTCCATCTTGCAGTGTCCAGTTATAAATAAGAACATAAGAAGGGCTGTACTGGGTCAGACCAAAGGTCCATCTAGCCCAGTATCCTGTCTACCGACAGTGGCCAGTGCCTGGTGCCCCAGAGGGAGTGAACCTAACAGGTAATGATCAAGTGATCTCTCTCCTGCCATCCATCTCCACCCTCTGACTAACAGGGGCTAGGGACACCATTCCTTAACCATCCTGGCTAATAGCCATTAATGAATTTAACCTCCATGATTTTATCCAGTTCTCTTTTAAACCCTGTGATAGTCCTAGCCTTCACAACCTCCTCAGGCAAGGAGTTCCACAGATTGGCTGTGCGCTGTTTGAAGAAGAACTTCCTTTTATTTGTTTTAAACCTGCTGCCCATTAATTTCATTTGGTGACCCCTAGTTCTTGTATTATGGGAATAAGTAAATAACTTTTCCTTATCTACATTCTCCACATCACTCATGATTTTATATACCTCTATCATGTCCTCCCTTAGTCTCCTCTTTTCCAAGCTGAAAAGTCCTAGTCTCTTTAATCTCTCCTCATATGGGACCCGTTCCAAACCCTTAATCATTTTAGTTGCCCTTCTCTGAACCTTTTCTAGTGCCAGTATATCTTTTTTGAGATGAGGAGACCACATCTGTACGCAGTATTCAAGATGTGGGCGTACCATCGATTTATATAAGGGCAATAATATATTCTCAGTCTTATTCTCTATCCCCTTTTTAATGATTCCTAACACCCTGTTTGCTTTTTTGACTGCCTCTGCACACTGCGTGGACATTTTCAGAGAACTATCCACGATGACTCCAAGATCTTTTTCCTGATTTGTTGTAGCTAAATTAGCCCCCATCATATCGTATGTATAGTTGGGGTTATTTTTTCCAATGTGCATTACTTTACATTTATCCACATTAAATTTCATTTGCCATTTTGTTGCCCAATCACTTAGTTTTGTGAGATCTTTTTGAAGTTCACAGTCTGCTTTGGTCTTAACTATCTTGAGCAGTTTAGTATCATCTGCAAACATTGCCACCTCACTTTTTACCCTTTTCTCCAGATCATTTATGAATAAGTTGAATAGGATTGGTCCTAGGACAGACCCTTTGGGAACACCACTAGTTACCCCTCTCCATTCTGAGAATTTACCATTTATTCCTACCCTTTGTTCCCTGTCTTTTAACCAGTTCTCAGTCTATGAAAGGACCTTCCCTCTTATCCCATGACAACTTAATTTACATAAGAGCCTTTGGTGAGGGACCCTGTCAAAGGCTTTCTGGAAATCCAAGTACACTATGTCCACTGGATCCTGTTTGTTGACCTCTTCAAAGAACTCCAATAGATTAGTAAGACACGATTTCCCTTTACAGAAACCATGTTGACTTTTGCCCAACAATTTCTGTTCTTCTAGGTGACTGACAATTTTATTCTTTATGATTGTTTCAACTAATTTGCCTGGTACTGATGTTAGACTTACCAGTCTGTAATTGCCGGGATCACCTCTACAGCCCTTTTTAAATATTGGCGTTACATTAGCTATCTTCCAGTCATTGGGTACAGAAGCCGATTTAAAGGACAGGTTACAAACCCTAGTTAATAATTCCGCAACTTCACATTTGAGTTCTTTCAGAACTCTTGGGTGAATGCCATCTGGTCCTGGTGACTTATTAATGTTAAGTTTATCAATTAATTCCAAAACCTCCTCTAGTGACACTTCAATCTGTGACAGTTCCTCAGATTTGTCACCTACAAAAGCCGGCTCAGGTTTGGGAATCTCCCCAACATCCTCAACCATGAAGTCTGAAGCAAAGAATTTGTTTAGTTTCTCTGCAATGACTTTATCATCTTTAAGCTCTCCTTTTATATCTCGATCATCCAGGGTCCCTACTGGTTGTTTAGCAGGCTTCCTGATTCTGATGTACTTAAAAAAACATTTTGTTATTACCTTTGGAGTTTTTGGCTAGCCGTTCTTCAAACTCCTCTTTGGCTTTTCTTATTACATTCTTGCACTTAATTTGGCAGTGTTTATGCTCCTTTCTATTTACCTCACTAGGATTTGACTTCCACTTTTTAAAAGATGCCTTTTTATCTCTCACTGCTTCTTTTACATGGTTGTTAAGCCACGGTGGCTCTTTTTTAGTTATTTTACTGTGTTTCTTAATTTGGGGTATACATTTAAGTTGGGTCTCTATTATGGTGTCTTTAAAAAGCGTCCATGCAGCTTGCAGGGATTTCACTTTAGTCACTGTACCTTTTAATTTCTGTTTAACTAACCCCCTCATTTTTGCATAGTTCCTGTTTTGAAATTAAATGCCACAGTGTTGTGCTGTTGAGATGTTCTTCCCACCACAGGGATGTTGAATGCTATTGTATTATGGTCACTATTTCCAAGCGGTCCTGTTATAGTTCCCTCTTGGACCAGCTCCTGCGCTCCACTCAGGACTAAATCAAGAATTGCCTCTCCGCTTGAGGGTTCCCGTACCAGCTGCTCCAAGAAGCAGTCATTTAAAGTATTGAGAAATTTTATCTCTGCATTTCGTCCTGAAGTGAAATGTTCCCAGTCAATATGGGGATAATTGAAATCCCCCACTATTATTGAGTTCTTAATTTTGATAGCCTCTCTAATTTCCCTTAGCATTTCATCATCACTATCACTGTCCTGGTCAGGTGGTCTGTCAAGGCTGTATCCCCACTTTGAACTTTAGGGTACAAATGTAGGGGCCTGCATGAAAACTTCTAAGCTTAACTACCAGCTTAGCTCTGGTCCACTGCCACCATCCCAAGAATTCCCTCCCTGGGAGGCCTTGATGGAGACTGGTGTGGTGGGGTGAGAAGGCGTCTGGGGTTTCCCTTGGGATGTGGGTGGGGCC